CTGATACTCTCTAGAACCAGAAGTCTTCTGTAGACTTTTAAACCTCACCTATAGGAAATTCCCATAAGAACTAGAATTTAGATATAGTTCCTATGCCAGTTATTAAATTTTGTCTTTCAGCTCTATCCATCCTTCTTGCTTTTATAAATTGCTTTTGTTTTACTTTTATTTGCTTTTTTTTTTTTTTTTTTTTTTTCTTTTGGCAGAACTGGGGATTCAACTCAGGTCCTTGCACTTGCTAGGCAAGCGCTTATTCTACTGAGCTGTCTCCCTGGCCCCTATAAATTGCTTTTGATGTGCAACTGAAACTAAAGTGCTAGGGGTATGTTGCTAATAAATTCTTTTTTTTTTTTTTCAGATCCAGGGATTGAACTCAGACCCTTGCGCTTGCCAGGGAAGCACTTATTCCACTGAGCCATTTCCCTGGCTCCACTAATAAATTCTTGTTCTTTTAGTTTTAATTTCCATTCTCATATAGCAAGGACTCAGGCTGGCCAGTGGCAACAGTATTCTCCCTGAAGTATCTGTCCTACAGTATTCTTGCAGACCTCCATGCTATCACCTAGATATGGTGGTGCGTATTTATAATCCTAACTCTATTTCTGCTTTGGGAGAAATTTCCTGTGAGATTCTGCCAACAGGATTGATAGAGGAAACTTTAGTATGCTCAGTGAGAATCGCTCTAGCTACAAGTCTGGGATTACAGGTTTGCACCACCATTTCTAGATTCCTTTCATTATTTTTATTTTGAGAAAGGGTCCTGCTAAATTGCCCAGGCTAGGACACATTACAGCCTCTTCCCTCAGTCTCTCAGAGTGCTGAGATTACAGGTGTGTACCACTATGCCTGGCTGTTCTAGTCTTTAAAATATTTCAGGTCCTCGGGGGCCTGCCCCTTAGCTCAGTTCTTTAAGTGGCTGCTTCAACAAAGCAGTCAGGCTCATGTTCCAGTGGTTCAATCCCCACAACTCAAGCCAGCCAAACCTGCTCTGAAGGCATTCGGAGGAAAAAAAAAAAATTCAGGTCCTAGCTGGCCAAATTACTGTGCAAATAACTGTACTATCATACTATCACTGTACAATTATTCATAGTGGACCATTCATTTCTTAAAATGTGCTGCAAACAACAGGTGGAGCAGTGAGAGGTATGTAACATACCAAAAAAGCCATATTAGGAGCTGCCCTCACCAGACACCAAATCTGCTGGTACCATGATCTTGAACCTTCCAGAAATGTAAGAAATAAATTAATTAATTTCTGCTGGCTACGGTGGCACATGTCAATAATCTCAGCACTCCAGAGGCTGAGACAGGAGAACTGCTGTGCGTTTGATGTCAGCCTAAACTACATAGTGAGAACTGTCTCAAAAATCCAAAAAAGTAGGGAGGGCAGAAGGGAGGGAGGAGGGATGGCCAAATAGCTCAGTGGATTAAAGCGCCTGCTTTGGCAGATGCAGGGGCCGGAGGTTCAATCCCCGATCCCGGCCTACCTTGTCTGTGCCACCCCTGGGGTGCGCTGAAATGTGATTGAGGCTAGGTGTGGTGGCGCGTGCCTCTAATCCTAGCACTTGGGAGGCTAAACACAGGTAGATCACTACAAGTCCAATCTATGTAGTGAGACCCTGTAGACCCTGTAGATCCCTACTAAAAAAAAAAGGGGGGGGGGGGGGGAGAAGGGAGAAGGAAGGACAGAGGGAGGGAAGGAGGGATGGATTAATTTCTGTTGTTTTGAAATTATCCAGTTTGTAGAATTTTTATAGCAATACCAGTGAACCAAGACTGCTAGCTGGCTGTTGACGTAGTTCGTATCTTTGCTTCCTCTAGTCTCATTTACTTACAACGGTCTTGTTTTGTTCGCAGTGCTGGCAATAGGGCCTTACTCATTCTTGGCAAGTCCTCTACCACTGAGCTACATACCTACTCAACAACAGACACTGTTATATTAAGGCCTTACTATACTCTATTTCACTTTTCATTTATAGGATTTCTATTTTGTTCTTCAAATCTGCTAAGTCATTCTTTATAGTTTCAGGTTTCCTGTGTGCATTTTGCCCCATGATATTTTTAAGCTTGTCCTTTAGTTCTTTAAACATATTAAAATCTGCAATAATATCATTATCTCAATCCTCCTGTTTCTCCCAGTTCTTGTTTGTGGGGCCTTATTTTTTTGAATGTGAATTATTTTAAACTTTTTTTTTTTTTTTTACCATGAGCTGCTCATTTTCCTTAGAATTTTATTGACAGTGTGGAGGGTTGCAATAACTGTAGGACAGATACCCAAGGCAGAACACTACAGTAGGTATACAGATATCGCCAAATTATCCTCACACTGTCCCTGGCTAGCATAAGTCTTTGCCACACAATAACGAAAATTAAGACTAAAGGGATGACAAAAAACATATAAGCAAAAGCTTTAACTGCAAAGTAAGGAAAAATAAGGAAAGTACCCTATTTTGAATAGCTGAGGGGACACACTTTGATGAAGAGGATCAGACTGTCACAAAAAAAAAAAAAAAAAGAAACAGAAATTAGATTTATGAGTTACTGAGATGGGCCAGGGTCCAACTGATCTTATCTCAGTCCTGGTTTTGTACCACCAGAGAAATCTCCTCATCTGAGGAGTGATTTCCATGAAGTGACTGCCTGTGCTTGCAGCACTTTCATTCATGTACTGCTCTGCTCTTCCTGGGACATTGGTGATTATAAGTTTAGGACAATGGCTGGAGACTCCCAGGACAGAGGTCTGGAACTGGATGTTGTAAAAAGTGGTAATCGGTCCTGCCAATCTTGAAAATTACTTTATTCTTACTGTGGAATCCTTAGTCTTCAAGGCCAATGAAGTAGACTAGGTAAATTTAGGGCTTTATGTATAATTTTAAGCTGGATATGGTGTTTTATGCCTCTTTAATTCTCACCTCTGGGAAGCAAAGGCAGAACAATTGCAAATTCAAGCCTGCCTGGGAAATTTAGCAATTTAGTAAGAACCTGGCCCAAAATAATAAATAAGTGGGAGGACCCTAAATTCAATCCAATGTACCACAAAAATAAATATTTTTTTAAAACAGGAACTTCACAATAAGCTACATCCCCAATTTTGAGACAGGGTCTTAAGTCACTAAATTCTCCATGTTGGACTCCAACTGTGGATTTTTCTGCCTCAACCTCTGAGAATGCTGAGATTAGCAAGCTTCTACCATCATGCCCAGATCCTTTTTATTCTTTTTATTTTGAGAAAGGGACTCAATAAAATTGCCCAGAAAAAAAAATTGCCCACACTGGGCTCAAATTGGATCCTCCTGCCTCAGTCTCCCAGAGTCTTGGGATTGCAGGTGTGCACCACTAATGCCTGGCTGTTCCACTCTTTAACATATTTTTTAGTTCCTAGATGGTCAAACTACTTTACAAATAAATCATTGCACCATCACTACCATCACTGTGTTATCCACAGTGGACCAATTCATTTCTTAAAATTTTCCTTAAGCCCTAAATTGTATCATTAAACTTTTTTTTGTACAGGAAATCGAACTCAGTACCTTGAAATTGCCAGGCAGACACTTGTACCGCAGACCTATATCCCTAGCCCTGTACCGATAAACTTAAAAAAAAAAAAAAAAAAAAAAGTTTGTGCTTGAGCAACAAGTGAAACAATGGAAGTATTTTGATTAAACCTGTGAGACCTATGCTGAATGCCAAAGGCTTCCCTTTCCTGACAAGCTTCTTTTATGTAGCTGAATCATCTGCTTGCAAAGCGCATCTTCAAAGACTGCTTCAGAGAAAAATAACTGGTCCCTGGGCAAACCAGTTCTGACCTTCTCTACTTTTTTATGCTTTTTTTTTTCTTTCTTTTTTTTAGGTACTGGGATTCCAACTCAGGACTTCACACTTGCCCTGCAGGAGCTTGTGCCACTGAGCTATATTCCCAGCCCCTGACCTTCTCTACTATTAAGTGACCACATATAATCCAGGTGGTCCTCACTGGCCTTCAATTGGTCATTTGCTACTAGTTGGATGATTTTTTTCAAACTCTTAGCATTGATATTCTGGGAGTATTTCCTAGAAACCAGCTCAAGCCAGTAAAGATGTCTGCTAAAGAAGTGCTAAGGAATCTTGCTAAGGAACACACGTTCTAAGATTCCTTTTCATATTTTTGTAATTTATGTGCCTTAATAAAAAGTGACTCTGAGTCAGGGTCAGTGGTGCATGCCTGTAATTCCAGCTAGTTGGAAGGCTGAGGCACAAGGATTAAAAATCCACAGACAAGCCCTATCATGGTGGGGTATGCCTATAACCCCAGCACTCAGAGGCTGAGGCAGGAGGATCACCACGAGTTTGAGGCCTGCCTGGGCTACATATGGAGTTCAAGACCAGCATGAAGGTAGTGAGACCCTGCCTCAGATAAGTAAATAAATAAGGTTGGGAGTGAAGCTCAGTGGTAAAGCACCCTTGGATTTGAACCCTGGTACCGCCAAAAAGAAAAAAAGAAACATGAAGGGCAACAACAAAAGTGCCCCGGAACACAGCCCAGAGTTTGATGTTCGACTACCACGCTGCCCTCTGTCTACTCGGGAAAGTTCTGGATAAGACTAGTGCATGACTTCATTTACCTCTGCAGACACCTGTGGCTCCGGGAGGATGCAGAATTTAGCCCGCTCCCATCAGGAGCCCTAGCCTAGGGCAGCAGCCTAGGTCAGACTGCTAACACCTTCCCGAACACACTCTCGGACCCAGCCCACCTTCCCGCATACACCCTGGCCCACAGTTCGGCGCACACTGGTCCTCCGGGGGTTGTGGACCCTCTCTACCTTCTGGAGCACACCTACCTATCCAGACACTAGCGGGTGGCAGAGCAGCAGGGCTCTTCCTCGAGGACGCTGGAAGCGCGGTTGCGCGCGGGACTACTTTTCGCGGACCCTCGGGGCGGGCGGAGGGATCCCACGCAGGGCGCTCACGCTGTGGGACGCAGTGCCCTCGCGCGGAGGGGCGCAGGGCGGGCTGACCCGGGATAGTGCGCCTGCGCTTTGGCCGCCGCTCGTCAGTCGGCCGGGTGTCAGGCTGTGGTGCCTCTCACTCGCGCCCACCATGGCGCAGATTCTTCCCATTCGCTTCCAGGAGCATTTGCAGGTAAGGCTGGGCTCGGGCGCCCCGCGGAGTCGCTGCTGGACGGCTGCCGAGACCTGCCCCCTCGGACCGCGGCGGGAGAACTTCGGGCGCTGCGCCGTGGCCGCACGTGCGGACCCACTCGTGGCGCTGTGGCCAAAATCTGTTTCCCGCAGGGCGGTTGGACAGGGTCTTCGGTACCAGTATAGCTGAGAACTCTCGAAATGGGAGTCGGACACCTACCAGAACGCCTCTCGTTAGTCCCTGAGAAAAAGCTTTCACGTGTTTCCATGCTAGGCTTCCTAACTTTGAGGTCCGCGTCCAGTCAGTAGTTTCCCACTTGGCATCTTGGGACCCTTACTCCTGAGTTCGCATCTGTCCGTTGTGTGGGTCCCTAAGGTGGCTTTGTGGGGGAGGGTAGTCAAAATGTGTGACCCAAGAGGAAGGTTAGATAAGGCGTAGTTTAATGAGACGCTTTGGCTGCGCTAACACTCCCAAAGTTTGGCTTTTTAATAAAGGTCCAATTTGTTCTCGTAGGAAAATAAGGACTGGCCACGTGTGTGAACAGGGTTCAAGTAGGGCACCCTGTGGAGCACCTGGCTTCGAAAGTTTTACTTTCGAGTCACTCTTGGGTAGGGGGAGAATTCTAACAAATTTTAGGGGAAGAGATGAGACTAGAGAAGTAACGCTAATAGCTCCATCCTAAGGGCGATTTTGTTAAATGTTTACAATCCGGTAAATTAATTTCTTTTTTGCTGTTTTGTGACAGAAAATCGAGCCTCAGAGAAACCAAATACTTCTTACTTAGGAAGAGTAGGATTCAGACTCAACTCTTGTTGATAATAGAGCTGTACAGCAATGAATGTGGTCAATTGAAAGGTCATATTTTCAGATACAGCATTATTGACTTTATACTCAAACGAGAAAGGTCTTGGGAGTTTTTACCAGTCTAGTCCCCTTATTCTACAGGTTAAAAACTTGCTATCTAGCGGGTCCTGGCTGGGTCATTTGGTTGTTATATAGCTGAGGTTGTGGGAGGTTGCAAGTTCCCTGACATATGTTCCTCTTTGGACTCTGTTCTGCCCCTAAAAGTGAATCAGTGCCAGTAATGTGAGACAGTAAAATAGTGCTGCTAATAGTAATAATAATAATGTAATACAGTTATGATTTACTGAGCCATTTCTCTTGCCACTTACACAAGGGATCTTTTTTAAAAATCTTGGTTAATCTTCATGAATTTTCAGGCAAATAGTGACTCCTTTTAACCATAGGTTACTAAGCATCATAAACATATAAAATTACACAGCTAGTAAATGGCAGAGCTGGATTCTAACCCAGCTTTGATTCCAAAGCCTGTTCTTTCTTCTTTTTCTTTAATTTTCTTTTATGTAGTTCAGATTGGCCTTTGAACTCACAACCTATCCTCCTACCTCAGCCTTCTAAGTGCTGTGATTACAGGTGTGTGCCACTACATCTTGCCCAAGGCTTGTTCTTAATTACTATCTAAATGTGGTCCATTCAAAAAAGTACAGATTTTAAGTTTTCATCAAAGTTTATAATGGCTTGAAAGAATATAGTCCATTATCAGGAAAATACTTGCGGCTTGTGGCCTGCAGGGCACCTGAATGAAACTTTGTGGTTTGTGGTCTCTAACTTTAAGTGTTTGAGGTTGCTTTGCATTGTGTGTTACTTTATTGCCAGCCAGTACACTCTGCCTTCACTGCAGACATTTTCACACTTCTCTACCTGTTCCTTAAATTCCTGATCCTGCTGCTCCCAGTTAGCTGCTAGCTGATGACTTGGAAGAAAACAGAAACCATACATCGTAATGTGCTCACTTCTGTGTTTGCACATTGTGTGCACTCATGTTTTCCTGCCTTCCTATTATCTAAGAACGGGGATTAGTAGTGATGCCTGTGTTTCCATTCTGTACCTGTCCTCTCGTGGGGCCCTTCCCCAAGAGCAGCTTATCTTTCCTGGATTTTTATCAATTCCCTTTCAGTGGCTTCCCATATGTGTTCAACTGTATTCACATCTCTTCTGTCTGTGTAGCACACAATCTTTTTCACACCAAGGAACAAGCCAGACAAGGTCAAAGAATGTTTCTCCATTACATCTTTGTGTTCCTCAGTAACCTGAAATCTGGTTTTCATCCTCCCATTTCCCTGAATTTGTTCTTGCCAAGGCAACAAATGATCCTGGATGTGGTTTTTTTTTTTTTAATAAGGGACCAGATAGTGTATAAGTGTGATATTTGGAGAGGTACAGCCTGTCTCTGTGTAGTACTCTTCCCTTTTACCTTGTAAAACTGAAAAAATCATTTTTAGTTTGAGCCGTATAAGGTATAGTTAACCACCTTGTTGTAAAAATAAACCAGCAGCTTGCATATCTCCCATGACTTTCCAGTGTGTCTTGACACTGTACTTGTTTTCTTTCTCAGGAACTGCCTCTGCTGCTTTTGGGAGAGTACCCTAGAATATCTCTTACCTCTCTGCCACACCCATTTCCCTGTGAACACCTCTTGCATGTCAGTTTGGGGTCTTTTTGAGCCCCTTTGTCTTTTCATTTATTGTGCTCTGCCAAGGAATCTTATGTATTCCTATATGATCAGTGTTCCCAAGATATCTGTGTATTTTTTGACAAGCCTCAGTACTGTATTAGGAGAGGCAGCAGCAGGCCTTTGAATTTAGACTGAGCCAGGCATGGTGGCACATGCTTGTAATCCCAGCACTCTGGGCAGCTGAGGCAGGAGAATCACAAATTTTACCCCACTCTGGGCAATTTAGGAAGTCTGTCTCAACATAAAAACTTAAAAAGAGCTGTGGATGTAACCCAGTGCAAAGTCCCTAAATTTAGTCCCCAGTATAATGAGGGGATTGGGCCTGGCAATTTAAGTTTAGTCAAGACTTAATAGATGGAATCTGGACTAAGATACTTCAGGGTTTTGTGATTTGGGGCAATGTATGTAATTTTTATGTATAAATAGGGATAAATCTGGCTGTTAATCTGTATATATAGGAATCAGGGAGATAGCTCAGTAGAATAAACGCCTGCCTGGCAAGCACAAGGTCCTGAGTTCAATCCCTGGTACCGAAAAAAAAAAAAAACTAAATTAAAAATCTGTATATATAATAATTAATATTGTAAGGACTTATAAATAAGTCAGATGCTGGCAAAAAAAAAAAAAAAAAAAAAAGGAGTGGAGTAGGAGGGGGAAGAAAAAGAACTGAGATGTCATATGTGCATGTACCAGTTCTTTACAATGAATGTAGTTATTGTAGTACTGCAAACATGTACTAATAAAAATAAAAATTTTAAATAGGGATAAAAAGTTGTATTAATCAATTTTCTCTTACCTTAATAAAATACCTAAGATTGGGTAATTTTATAAAGAAAGGGATTTTATTTAACTCACAGCTCTTAGAGAGTCAAGGCCATGGTGCTTGGCTTTTGAACTTGGTATTTCATGGTGGAAGGCAACGTGTGTAGAATCTCACCCAAGGGTAATAGTATATGCAAGAAGGAGAAATCAGGCTGTACTTGGTGGTCCATGCATATAAGCAAGCCCAGTACTCTGCCAGCTGAGGCAGAAAAATCACTGTGAATTGTAGGCCAGCCTGAACTGCATAGTGAAATCCTGTATTAAAAAGACAAAAAAAAAAAAAAAAAAAAAAAAAAAAAGAAAGAAAGAAGAGAGAGAGAAAAACTACATGGTGAGATGGGAGCCAGGATGAGGGGTAGGTTTTTTCTTTTTATAACATTCTCTCATGGAAACTAACTCAGGGTCCCATAATAACTGCCTTAATCTCCTTCAAAGGTGACCTCCCTTAGACTCCACCTCTTAAATGTCCTGTCCCCTCTACATTGCCACACTAAGGGGGCTAGGGATGTGGCTCAGTGGTCAAGCTCTTGGCTTACATGCACAAGGCCCTGGGTTCCATCCCCAGCGTGTCATACCAAGGACCAAGCCTCTAACATATGAACCTTTGGAGGATGTCCTCAAATCATGTTCAAGTTAAATCAAAGGTATAATTATTACCTCACAGAGTAGGTCTTAAATAAATAAATGTAAAGATCTGAACAGTGTTTGATACAAACTAAAGTATTGTAGCTTGTTTTCTGTCCCTGCCATTGTGACAGCTGCCTACTGGAAAAGAGTTAACAGATTCCTCAAATTATGGTCAGAAAGGAAGTCCCCCTTTCCCCCGCTTTTTTTTTTTTTTTAAACACATGTATGTCTCCTCCAGTTTCTAGCTAGGACTCTTCCCATGCCATATCTTTTCCCCATCACATTGACTCTTCAACTTCTTATTTTGGTATCATTCTGTCTCTGTTATCATGCCTTAGACATTGCCTTAGACTGCTCCTCACCTCACCTTTGTGTTCACACTAACTTTGTCTGTATCCCTCCAGTCTTATCATCATTGCTTAATTTTCTTAACACACAGCTACAGTGAGCTTCTCAGGGTTATCTGTCTAACTGCCTAACATCCTCCAGGGAGGCTTGCCTGTTGCTTTTAGAATGAATATGCCAGGCCCCAAGATGCCCTTTCAGGTTCTGCTCAGCACAGTCAGCAAAGTCTTGCTGCTGCCTCAGAATCCTTTCCAGAACACATTTTTTCCACTTGCTTTCTCATTATCCAACTCACATCTATTGATTCTTCTGGTATCTGTTTAAAAGGCCTTCTCTCCAGAAATTATCTCTGACTTGTCAGAGTCATTCTTCTGTGCTGGTGCCTTTAGGATTCCCCTTATAATCTCATGGTTTTATTATTTATTTTCCCTATAAGATTGTAAGCTTAAGGAGGTACTATTTTTTTTTTTTTTTTTTTGTGCCAGGGTCTTGCTATGTAATCCAGGCTGTCTTGAATTCACTACGTAGCCCAGGTTGTCCTTGAAGTTACTGTGACCTCCTGGCTCAGTCTCTGTAGTAGCAGGATTACAAGGCATATACCACCATACCTGGCTGAGATACTATTTTTAAATTTTCTTTTTGTGCTTAAATATGAGTTGGAAAGTGGTTG